GGCGCTTTCCACCCCTCTAAATGGATACACGGTGGGCGCGCGCACAACCTACTACTTACTTGCTCACCTCGGCTCCTCTTTCTCTTGCCTATTCCACGTTTTCCTACAAAGTCTCCTGACCTCACCTCCACCCTCCTTCCTCCGTCGCCCACTTCAGTACTCTCCTTCTTTTACTACCTTCGACCCTCCAACCCTCCCTTTTCGACGTATCGAATGCTACGTCACAGTGGCGAGATATACGGCTATTTCACAAAGTGGTTAAATGCACTGCCAGATTACGGATTTGGGGGTGGGTGCGGGAGGAGGGAAGGGGAAGCATGGCAAGCGGCAGAACAGAGAAAGAGAAAAGGCCACCATCGACGGCTAACAACGGTGGCGGTTACGATATCGTCTATCGACTACCGTCAACTGCCAGAAACTCTCTCCCACTCTCTCTCTCTCTCTCTCTCTCTTTCTGCATCGCTTCTGGTTGCGATCGGCCCTGGAAAAGTCACTTTAGCCGTCTTTTATTTTTTTCCTGTCTCTCTGTCCCTCTTTCTCCGTAGGTATTCCTTTTCTTACAACACGCTCTCCGTTCTCTCGCGTTTACGCTTTCGAGAAGTCTGCGCGTGCTTTCTCCAACCCTCGTCGCTCGTTCCTCCTTCAGACGGGATCTCCTTCCCTTTCTGTCATCCCTCGTGGATTTTATACGGAAAATGGAGGTATTCCTTCGTAGAGGAAAGTTAGGTTCGGTCGAAGAACTTGGCCAAGTGGGCGGGAGGGGGAGGATGCTAAATCTGCCTACAACGAGAGTAAAGGTGACATTGCGATGGAGGATGACGAAGGACGCCCGGCAGCTACCCACCGCCCGAGCGAATTTTCCCTAAAGGACCTTTTAGAGTTAATTGATCGTCTGAGCGATATACACGTGCCTTCGCGTACGCTCGCGTGTAATGCACCCTTAATGGACGCGAACCTTTGCCCACGTACGCGATCAAAGAACCTACCGACAAGCCTGGTCTCGGTGTTCGATCATTGTCCAATACGCCACCAGAATTTAACTACACCTTAGCCTGAACCTCGATGCACACCGACCACCGTACATTTCTATTCTCGTGTGCCCTTGTGATCTGCTTCGGAGCATTTATCGATTTACGATACCGAGGAGTTACAGAGCATCCGGAGACAGGAGAGGCTCTCATAAAGAAGTCGAGAAGATGGAACGTCGAACGGAAGGATCGCGTTGCTTCCTTCTATTTAACTCTATCGTTATACCAGACGTCTCTAATGATCGTGCGTCTACGATCTACGAGCAACTATAACCTGAACCTCCTCTTAACCCTTGGGCGGTTTTCTGACTTCTTCCTGACCCACTGCATATTCATTATAGCGTTATACATAGTTACATGCGTGTTAAAACCTAATGCAACTGTGTATAACATTGTCATTAAATTGATGCTAATCTCTTCGTTTGTAATAGACTCGCACATTACACTTCAAATGTGACAAACCTAAATATTATGCAAGTGCATAATGATTGAATTTTGAACTCAGTGCCGATTATTATTAAAGAATGCTAAGTTCAAATAATACTATAAAAAATATTTTTTACAAACATTAAACCTACTAGCATATAATGTGTACTTAATTTGAAATTAAAAACGAAGTTAAAAAATAATTAAACAAACGACGAAACATAAATTTGTACACACATTTATTCTTTATCTTGATGAAAATCAATGCTGATTTCAAAGAATGTACTTTAACAAGATGTGTGTCTTATAGTAAGAAACTTTTGGAGCAGCCAATTGACTGGTTTGCTAGTTTTAGTGTTAAAATGAATAATATAGTTTGCAATATTGTATGAAGGTATAGCAACAAATTGTAAGTATGAAAGATAAAAAGTACTTTTAATAATTTTACAACTCACAAAATTTTCTGTACATGTGTATGCTTATATGTGCATACATGTAGATTAATAATTATGAAAAAAGAAAAAGATTGAAAACAAATATTGTAAATCAAATAGTGTTTTTAAATAATTACTAGTGCAACTATTAGAACACAATTTGTAAAACAAACA